TAAACAGAATTCCCAAGTTTTTTATTCTAGGAGCTACAGATGCCCGACGCACTATTGCCGGACCCTGTATATAGGATGGCTGACTAATACCTAGGGTTTCCATAACAAGTTTTTGGAAATTTCCGACAAGTGAGCTCTGAAATCCGGACATAATCCGGAGATTTGCACAACATTATCATTATGTTTATGTAAAATTATCATGGATACATTTTACTTTAAAGGGGAAATTAAAGCCATTTATAAAAGTGTTAAGTATACTTTTTTGCCTTTGTGAGCAGCACTAAAATGTACTGCAAACGTTACAAATAACATCAGAATTGGATTATTCTTTTTGGGGTTCCGTATCTCAAAAGATTTGGAACCATTGTAGGATCACTTTGTTTTTTGTCCATCTATCTGTCCGAGACCCTTTTATCTCGGGAGCGCTTGGAGGTATCCAGTTGAGCGAAGCTGTGAAAAAATCAAAATACTAAATTAACGTAAAAAAAAAGATACGGCCGTTTATGCCACAAAAAACGCATATTTCGACGTCCTAAAAATCAAAACGCGTTTCCATGGTAATATAATTTCGTTTTCTTTCTTTAATAAATTGTTATTGATAGAATTTTAATTAACGTCATATTTTTTGCTATTTTAAAATGTTAAAGATTCACAAAATTTATTTAGTTCAATGCTATGGAAAGGGTGATAATAGTTATCGGAAAATGTGATACTTCAGCAACCGCAAAAAAAATACCAACGAACGAAATCGAAATTATATTACCATAGAAACGTCTTGATTTTTAGGATTTTTAGGAAAAATTCAGTCATATTTTCATGTTTTTTTTTAATTTTTCAAAAACGGTATGGAAATTTTGAAAGGCATAAAGGGGATTAACCGTTTTAGAACGAGAAAACTTAAAACTTTTAATGAAGGATGTACTTTTCTCAAAATGTTAATAATAAAACAGTTTTTCCGTCTGTAAAGATAATCCAGGAACATACTGATAGTCTTCATTTAAAGTCTATTTATAATATGTACCTATAAATTTGACGGAACCCTCGGTGGGGGAGTCCGATTCGCATTTGCCGGTTTTTAGGGTTCCGTAACCAAAGGGTAAAAACGGGAACCCTATTACTGACTTCGCTGTCCGTCCGTCCGTCCGTCTGTCACAAAGCTCTATCTTATGAACCGTTATAGCTAGACGCTAGACAGTTGAAATTTTTACAGATAATGTATCTATGTTGCCGCTATAAGAACAAATACTAAAAATAGAATTAAATAAATGTTTATAAATAAAAAAGTACTTTCGCTAAACATTATCTTTTAAGTAAGAATTTTACATAGAATGTTTCAAGTCCTCGGTGGCCGCGTGGTTTAAAGCGTTAGGACTTTACGCTACTATGACGTTGAAGCGGTGCGGTAGTAAGGCAGATACGAATCCTAGTCAAGGCGACTTTTTTTAATCGTTTTTTTTTAATTTTTACATATTTTCACATATTTATTTTTACTTTTTACATATTTATTATTGATTAATACAATTTTTAGTAGTGTCTTTCTTCATTTTTTTTAATTACTTATACGCGCATTCAAAATTTCAGCTAAATCGGAAAAAAAGTTTATAATAATACAGTACGTCTGTCCGTTCTGTAGCTACGGGGTATCCGTGGGAGGGGAAAGGATATTCTCTCCATGTTTTTCGTAAAAAATTAGACGACGCGTCCCATCAATGAAAATTCGACAAATTTGCAAGTAGCCAATAAAATTAGTGGACGGAGCGATTTACGGTGACGTACTCGTCAAGTCGACGTATAAAATATATTGCTGTTTATTTAAATATTTTTTGTCCGCATTCCTTTCATAGACACAGATCTAGCAGACGTACTTTATAATGTTGCATGTATAGATAATGAATGGTACGGAACCCTTCGTGTGCGAGTCCGACTCGCACTTGACCAATTTTTTTAATATTTAAGTGCTTAATTTTATCGGGGTAAATTTAAATATTGCCCGTTATACAGGGTGAGTTTTAAATAAGTGCAAATATTTTCAGGGCTGGTAGATCTAGGTAAAAGGAAAGATAAATAATATTATTATTTTCTCTTTACCGTTTTTCAAATAAGTCCAAAATAACCGAGTTATTTTACTTTGAAAATTTACAAAAAAAAATGATTTTTTGCTTAAATTTTGAGAACCACTGGATCTTTTCTGAGTCTTCTTTCTTGTAAATTTGATCTACCACCTATGTTGCCGTATCATCAAGAAATTATGGTTTCAACTATAAAAACTAAAAAAAAAAAATCCAAATTTTCAAAATATTTTTTTTGCAAAAAAAAAAAGTCATAATCGTGTTTCTAGGGTCGAAATATATTACTCCTAAAAATATTTGCACTTGTTTAAGACTCATCCTGTATACCGATACTTCCAAACCAATTTACCCGTGTCATATCAAGTTAAAATGAAATACAGTCTGTCCAACGAGCCAGGGATGATTTCGGCAGATGACAATCAAAAAATGACAGAAAATACAATTTACTTGTGAATTATAATGACAGGCATAACTGTAACACTGTGGCTCACACTTGCAACCTATGGAAACCTAAAAATACCTAGTAAATTAGCACATATTTTTTGAATTTATATTATAACCTTAACAGACAGCATAAGTGACTTAAAAGCATCCTAATGTTAATAAAATACTACTTTGAAATTAAAAATGCATTAACTAGTTGATCTTTTTAAGTTATGATTAATTAATTATATTTTTTATTCTCACACCAGTTTTTTAAGTATCAGCGAGACAATTTTAATAGGTATGTTTTGAAGTGAAAAAATCTCTGAGTGTATTTTAAACTGCTGTGTTCAGTTTCCATATGTTTCTTTTGACATCTGACATTGGATCTGGCTCTGTGGGGGTGTGTCTCCACCGAGTGCTCTCTCCTTACTGTAAATATCGATCAACGTAATTTTTGTCGACGCATGCCTTGATGTCTACGTTCACTTAATAGTTTCGTTGTAAATGTTCTTAGCAAAGTGGAACAGAGACCTAGTGACGTCATTTTTAACTCTATAATTTCGGAAGTTGCCATTTAAATATTTTTCAATTGTTTTTCATTTGAACTCTTTTAATTTTTGTGTCGTCTTACAGAACTTGTAAACTTATTGGAAATGTTTTTAAAGAATTATTCAAAATGAAGCAACTTGTTCATTTTGAATAATTTATACGAATTTAAGTTTGAGTTATAATATGTACAAAAATTCCAAGTTTATATATTTATTTTATACCGAAAACTTAAAATAATCCGGTCCTGGTCAAACAAACATCACAATGTGTCACAATAGCTTTGTTCGGGTTCTTGTTATTACCGAATCTGAACCGTCCTAGAACTGTGATGCGTATGCGCAGAAGGAAATATGAAGACATTATTTCATTTGCGCATGCGCTTCTGTTCGTGCAGAGTTCTAGGACGGTTCAGAATCGGTGATAACAAGAACCCGAAAAAAGCTAATGTCACACAGATCTGTCAAAAATATCGTAAATTATATTTTTTTATGAAAAGTTACGTTGAGTATATTGTAAACATAATAGAGTCTTTGAAAAATCATACATACATATATACGTACATAAGTAAACACACTGCTTCAAAAGAATTTTTTATTAGACACTAAACAATTCACAAAATTAAGTACTTGTTATTTATAACATGGAGAAATGGAAATTCATTTTTCGACTATTTCGGCAAACAATTTTTTTTCTTCCACTTTTTTTAACTCATTTTCATTTATTATTTCTGGATAATCCTATCAATATTAATATTCTGTATATGTTTACAGTTTACAGTCTTTAATATCTGTTATTGTTGTTTTAAATCCTTCAATTATATTTCTAGTTGTTGATTTGCACGGAATGGGCCGAAATTATATCTTATTACAGCCTGCAGACTATTTGATCCATAATAGAACTTAAGAACTATACTTTTTTCGTCAGTTGTATAATTCATATTTATTGTATAATTCATATTTATAAATTATTTTATTGCAACAATAACGTAATTTGACATTAAAAAATTGAAAATTGAATTTGCCGTTTGGGAGCTTTTTTCTGTTGTGTAATTAATAAGTTATTATATTAAAACTAAAAGAATTTCGAACTTCCATTGTCTTTATTTATTTTGCTTACACAACGTTTCGGTCAGAGTATCACTGACCGGTATCAAGTGTGGACTCATTCTATCACTTGATAACGGTCAGTGATACTTCGACCGAAACGTTGTGTAAGCAAGATAAATAAAGACAATGGAAGTCCGAAATTCTTTTAGTTTTAATACTCATTGTCTACCACATTCAAAGTTATTATATATTATTAAAAATTATATTTTCCTATTATAGTCCTTTCATTTAAAAGAAAATGATGAGCTGTAGATATTCACAACTCTGACTCTAGTTACGCCACTGGTGAAGTCTAGAGATTTAATTATTTAAATATATAGGGTGAGTCTTAAATAAGTGCAAATATTTTAGGGGTAGTATATTTCGGTCCCAAAAACACATCTACATATGAGATTTTTTTCGCGAAATTTTTTTTTGTAATTTTTGATTTTTTTAAAATTTTTTGTTAAACGACATATGTAGTAGATTAAATTTACAAGAAAGAAAATTCAGAATAGACCAAGTGGTTTTCAAAATTTAAGAGAATTTTTTTTTAATTAAAAAAAAGTAAAATATCTCGGTTATTTTGGACTTATTTGAAAAACGGTAAACAGAAAATATGTTTCTCTGAAAATATTTGCACTTATTTAAAATTCGCCCTGTATAATTTTAAAAGTTATAATAAAAATTAGGGAAACATAAAAATAAAAATAACATGTTTTATTATTTAAGAATATTTTTTACATATTTAATCCTTTTAACAGTTAAGAAAGAACTGTTGCATTTTAAAACTGAATAAAATATGATATCTTACAAAAATCTGACTTCGCTATTAAGACATGCAAAACTAATAAATTTTCTTTTTTTTCAGGTTTCATAAATTCAAATGCGTTTCAATCCTTACAAATCCACGGTAAGTTCTTATCAGGAAATTATAATTTATTCGTATTTATATAGAATAATAATAATAATAAAATCGTGTTTATTTCAGACAAAAAGCATATTACAAATAATGTAAATGTATTAAGTATAGTGGCGAAGTTTAGCTTAGCTATTCTTACACTTATGCCCACTTGCACCGTTTGTATAAACTTTGTTTAAAGGCTAATCAGTGATTAACTATAATAAAATATGTATAGTTAATCACTGTTTAGCCTTTAAACAAAGTTTATACAAACGGTGCAAGTGGGCATTAACCACTTATATATAGATAATCTAATACTTTTTATTGATTTTTGATTACAAATAATAATATATACAAAAACTAAAAAAAAAACTATGATTCAGAAGTTTTACTCATTAATTGATTAATCATTAGAAACATTATTATAAAATTTGAGCGCAGTATAACTAAAACAGCGCTGGAAAAAGGAAGCGCGTTGTTGTATAGTGTAGAAATGAGATTCATGTCTAATATTCAAATTATGAAGTTCGTGTCTAAAAATAAGGTTCTCTTTTAAATATTCTGGTTTTGAAGTTGTTATTTTTTTGTGAATAAGAACTAATGTGTACCTACTGTTTACTGTTTACTAAGAACTGTGTGTAGAGTGTAGATACACAGTAAGGCTTGAAAGAGACAATTCAGCATACTTATGACTTTGCTTATATGCAAATATAAATCTAACACAATTATTTTGCATTACTTGCAAAATATAATGATAATACTTGATTTTTTGCTTGAATATCCAATAATCAAAGTTTTATGTACATTTTTTCAACCAGGTTTTTAACATAGTAAAACTCAATTTTGAGTCTATAGTCAAGTCCAGTATCTTAAGCGAATCAGAAAATGTTAAATCAACTTGTCCGATTCTCAAATTGAGCAGCTGCCTAATTCAATGTCTCTCACTTTCAGCACAAAATAGAATTTTATTTGACTTATTCATATTTAGTGAAAGATTATGCTATCATGTACTATTTTAATTGCATATTAAAAGTTTTGAAAGGAATTCAAGAGAAAAAATAAACTTCTTACAAATAAAATGCTGCTTTGTAATATTTCTTATGCATAGGAAGGAAATTATTATCGATACAATATTAACTTTATATTTAGAATACCAAGGGTTAATTGAAAATAAATGGGCTAACTCCACTGCTAGATATATCTTTGCGCCTTTTATATGAATGCCTAGGGGTTTAACCCTAGAATCATTATTGGACTGACCTAGTTCAAGCTATATCTAAATTTAGATATAAAAAGGTTTTCAATACATTAAATAAGTAGATTAAATAAAAGAAAAAATACTAAGGATAATTCCAATTTCAGAAATACATCATGTAGTTATTTATACAGTATGTCCAATCATCTTGGGCGCCCTATACAGGGTGTTACAAAAAACATATGCCATCTCTCGTGGGAAGACTCATGTAAACATAAGATTTATTTTTTATATCAACATAGGTCCGATTCTGCTTTGTTTTGTAGCCTGGTGGTTAAAATATTCATTTTTTTTTCAATTTATTATAATGTTCTTCCAAGTGCTCTTAGCCATTCGAATGAGATTTTGAGGGTACAAGTTACTATAAGTGTTACATGTTACAAGTGTCGACAGATTGACTAGGGACGTACCTATGGGTTATCGCTGGAATGTTTTTCTAGAAAAAAATAGGTGCACCACTGACTTTTTCTGTTGTTGCAAAATTGTGTAGGCCCTTTAATGTCGATTAAAAATTGTATCTTGATCTTTTGTCAATTTCAGTCTCCTTAGATGAGATAAACACAATTTTATCAATTTGCCGTAATCCAAGACTAATAGTAACTTTAAATTTTTGTAGTGTCATTAACAAGAGAAAAAAAAGTCAGTGGCGCACATATTTTTTTAGAAAAATATTTCAGTAATAACCCATATCCGCGTCCCTGATTAATCTGTCAACACTTTTTTAGTACTAAAATATGTAACACTTATAGTAACTTCTACACTCAAAATTTTAAACCAATCGCTAAAAGCAAAAATATAAAAAATAAATTTATTTTTAGGTAAGGAATCTTCCCTCAAAAGATGGCACATTTTTTTGAAACACCCTGTATAAATAATGAATCAGCTTCATCAGAAAAAATATATTTATTTTTTGAATAAAGAATAAGTTTTTTTCTTCTAAATTTATAATAATAGTTAGAAAAACTGGAAGAAATCAAATGGTAAACAAGATACTTGTTTTTGTGGCTAAAAAAGGTCATTTTGGAAAATGTCCTTAATTAAACTATCGATTAATTGTCAAGTAGGTGACGCAAAGGGCCCGGCTAGTGTTTTTCCCACTTCTGTTGTGGACCAACCCTTAACCACGTGCTCAAGAAAGGTCTTTACCCTTTTGGCCACGTGTCTAAAATTGGGCTATGTGCTTTTCAGGCCATGAAAACGACGAACCTTTGCTAGTAGGGCGCATGCCCGGCCACAATCGACTTGCTGAACTTTATATTCATAAATTAGATTTTTATTGTATGTAGGGATTTATTTACAGCGGTCCCTCAAAATAGGGCATTCCGATACTCGCCTCAACATCGAGGTTAAATATATATACAAAGGGCGCAAGGAGATTGTTTACTATTTGTTTTTCTAAGGGATTAGCTTGCCGATTTTTAATGGAACGTAATTATTTTATTCGAACAGCTTTTTGGGGAGCGGTTTTTTACCATTATAGCTTTTTCGAAAAAGGTTTTATCGTGTGATGACTTCTAAATTCCCTGTCACAGTTATCTTTATAAGTATTATTTTTTTTATTTAAATATACTGCAATTCTATAAAAACTACTAATGACAGGAAGAAAAAAATATAACTAAAGGTTGGGAAACCTTGGCATCACCATAAACCGAACTATTCAATGGAAAATATACCTAAAACGCTAAAACCTTGACAGTTGTAATTATTTGGTCAAATAAAGATCATTTTATTAAAGTAAAGAAAATGAACGTAAATATTGTATCAACAATGGGCACACAGTAATTGTCCTAAACGTATTAATGTTGTATCTATATATACAGTGATGCAATAATTGTTTTCGTTTAAGTCTACCGCTCACTTTTTGTTCAAATCCAGATCTTGAAAATTCAGATCGATAGACCTATACGTACATAGGTTTTCCATAGATGTTTTCTGATCCGGACATGAGAGCTCTGAAATCCGGACAAAATCGGAATCCTTAGAAAATTAAATTATGAATATATTTAGGTATGCAAAATTTCTCTAACAAGAGAGAATACCTCATAATGAGAGTTGTTTTCTGTCATTTTAATTCATTGGTAAGTTTTATTCTCTCTCAGTGTTTGGATGTCGTCTGACGTTATTATTCCCTGACCCGTTAGACAGACTTACAGTTGCAGTTGAAGAAGTGTTAGGTATTCTATTTTAACTTCGTGAGCAGTATTAAGATACCTTAGTTCTTCGTTTTGGGATTACTAAATGCTTAATAATATTGATAAAATTAAATATTGCACGTTATTGTTGTTTGTAAAATGACAGGCACAGCCGTCACTGTAACGGATCGTTGTATAGACTTATATTCATAAAGAGCACGTAATCTTAACGAAAAGAATCCACAGTCTCGAGTGCACCGAAAACGAAAAAATATGAGCAGATAGATAAGAATACTTTCGAATAATATCACTTTTGTAGATATATCACATCATTACGAGTCAAATATTTAACAAAGTTAAGTTGTTTTTACGATTAGATTCTCCGGAGATTTTTTCAAAATCGGGCCGGACCACTCCGGGTAAATTCAGATGTATTGACATTCTACGTATACGGAACAATATTCTTCAAACACAGCGATGTTAAGATCATGTTTAACAAGAAAATTCTCTACTTAAGATTGCTATTAAGTATGCACGTATAACTCTGGAGTAAATAATATATACCGCGACTCCTAATTATCAAGCACCGCCCTACTTAATTGAAGTATTCATTATTAATAGAGCTTAATTAGTATTGCATGTGAGCTGTTTTGATTAGTTTTAAATAACTAATCTTATTCACCACACCAGACTACCAGTTGTGAAGACAGAATTCAATAACAAATAGCCGTAGAGCGTCAAAATCTCTGCTTTTATCATACACATTAAGGGAAAATTATACCGAGTGCTGGGGGGGGGGGGCTAAAACATAAGACTAATTTTATTTTATTAAAATCACTAACATGATATCTTTGGTTGTTCTAGGAAAGTCACCGTATTTTTCGGGACTTGATGACCAGGCTGGACCTGTGCTTCTAGAAGAACCGAGTCATTTAGTAGATGGAACACAACCCTTAAGTTCGCCATCAAGGTCTTCACCGCATTCCCAAGGGTCAGAAGGTGGTGAACGATTTTCAAGGAAAGTTTTTGTTGGTAAGTGAACGAATTTCATGAGATTGCTTAGAATTTTGAAAAATTTTGATCGAGATATAATGTAGTTATAAAACAAAATCAAAGATAATCGCAATCACAATAATGGATTAGTAGAAAATATTTGTTGTTTTTATTATAATTTCTCAAATAAACAGAACTTGTGTGTTTTGAGATAAACAAGTATATTTATTTTTCGTGGTTTGGCGTTGTCAACAAAGATATACAGTATTGCGTTAAAGTCTACTACTACTTTTTTACCACCAAAAACATACCTATTCTTCATATATATTAATAAAGTTCTCAAAATCTGAAAAAATAGTCTTCTATCAAAGAAAAAATAATTAAGAATAGCTCTTAGAGAGTGAAAGGGTCTGTAATAACGTAAGATATTTATTTTTTATATATATGAATTTTAGGTGGACTTCCTCCAGATATTGACGAAGACGAAATAACTGTCAGTTTTAGGAGGTTTGGACCCTTGGTCGTAGATTGGCCTCACAAAGCAGAAAGTAAATCATACTTTCCGCCCAAAGGATATGCCTTTTTGTTATTTCAAGTAAGTTTTCAGTTGGTTATTATCCACTTACGTCACACTTTAATTAAAATTTTCAAGCTTTTCACTCTAGGCTAAAACAATTAGTTTACGTGTAAGAGTTATCTTGTAAAAATGGAAACACTATATAATTCAATGCAATAATTTTACTTGTTCAATTTGGAAGTATTTCTAAATAATTCATGCTAATTTTGACACTATTAACACGTTCGTTTTCCCACAGATTGATGTTGCTCATCCCTATCTCCAAATATAACATGTAGTTCTTAAAATGTTGTCCAAATAGTAGAGATTTATTTAAAATAGAACATGTTTCATTATATTTTATAAAAAAATTCATTGAATCGCTAAAAAATATTCCATTATACAATAGTGCACGAGTTTATTTAGGTATAGTTCAAGCAAAAACCTTCGAGACTTATTAACACGTTCTAGGTCTAGTTGGCCATGCTATTGTTTACATAACACTTTACCAACACCCTTTTTTGTCTAAAAATGGTTTCTCTAGCCTTAAATGTACATAATATCTAATTATTACAATTTAAGAATAATTGCTATAGAAGGTGTTAGGTATTAGCGCGTTCTAACACTTCAAACAATGAAAATAAATCAATTTTTATGAAAACAACAGAGAATTTAATGTAATTATGAAACAGTTTATTAAAAAAAATAATATGTTTATAAAAATATAAACCTTCCTTTTAAAGGTAAATTTTGACGAGTGATCTTTATGAAAGGATAATTAAGTATCAAAATGCCATTCTTGTCAAAAAAAACAGTCCATTAATTTTATAGCTGGAAATTGAAAACGAAAAAAAAACAGCGCATTTTTTTGGTAAAATAATAAACTTTATGTGAAAATCATATAATGCATCCATAAATCTCTTCTCCTTTATTACCCACTATATACTAAACTTTTATGACTCTTCTAGGATGAAAATTCAGTTCAAAGTCTGATAGACGCGTGTATAACAGACGAGGATAAGTTATATTTATGCGTATCGTCGCCCACAATCAAAGATAAGCCAGTACAAATTAGACCGTGGAGGTTATCCGATGCAGATTTCGTATTAGATGCCTCCATGCCATTGGACCCTAGGAAAACTGTTTTTGTCGGTGGTGTTCCTCGACCTCTTAAGGCTGGTAAGCAAATATCACCATATCGATAACGTCTCTATCGATGTTTGTGCCCATCCCTAACGAAAAATTGTTGCAGTTGAATTAGCTATGATAATGGACAGACTGTACGGTGGAGTCTGTTATGCGGGTATCGATACAGATCCAGAACTGAAATATCCCAAAGGAGCTGGACGGGTGGCGTTCAGCAATCAGCAGAGCTATATAGCAGCCATCAGCGCTAGGTTTGTCCAGCTGCAGCACGGAGACATAGACAAAAGGGTCGAAGTCAAGCCCTACGTGTTAGATGATCAAATGTGCGACGAATGCCAAGGGCAAAGATGCGGTGGCAAGTTTGCACCTTTCTTTTGCGCTAATGTCACTTGCTTACAGGTAAGAACTAATCTGATCTAATTTCTTATTCTCAGAATATCGGCAAATAACAAATTTATAAGTTTTATACAGAAATATTATTTCTCCCGCACAATTGTACTTGTAGTTAATGTGTTGCGAATTCTATAACTTCGCGAAAGTATAAATTTATGAAATAATTACACTTTCAATATCAGGTATGTTTTTTTCTTGTGATTTAATGAAACTGATTCCGTGAAAAACATAATTGCAGTAAATTTATGTTGAATCAAGACCGGTCTGCTGTATTACAAAGAACAAAAACTAATTTTCACTTGATCATTTTAAAACGGAGAAAAAAGTTGGATTGTATTTTAATTAAACACTCGGTATTTGATGCGGGCAAAATATTTTCAACACAAACTTGCATAAATATGCTTTTTTATAGTGGCTGTTACTTAACTGTTGAAAAGTAGCGCAAATTTTGCTATTTGGGCGTATACAAGGCGATTAAAAAGTAAAATTAATTAAAAAACAAAATTCCCGAAGGCTTTGGCAACTCAGGACTATAAAATTTGTATATAAGCATTAAAGAAATAATAAGACTAGAACTAGACGTACCATATTAATTCTGCAAGATACTCTACATCGTCTAAAAGCTAGATAAATTCTAGTGGCTAATAAAATCTTTCAGACAAAAGATATTTTCTCGTACTAAATTAGCATAAAAACGAATTAGTTTCAATTAAACAAAATGTGTAGACTCAGCCGCGAGACAGACAATTAATTTATGCAAATTTTTATAGATGCGGCAGAGAGAAAGAGAAGGAAGATATTTTAGAATTATCCAGAAAATTTCATTAACAAACCAGATTTGTTTCGAAATTGTTACTCTATGACGAACAGACTTCTCTAATTCTCTAGTTTAATTATTGTGTTACATAGAAATTGCAACACCCAGTAACTGTAAATATATTGTGTTAATATTTTGTGAAGTAATTGGGATAAATATGAATAATAACCGATAACATTTTTAATTTGCAATCAAATTTATTGAAATTAATTCGTAACTCTTCGTGGTATGCTGCGAATCAGATGAGCTCACAGGATGAGCTGGTGGTTATTGAAAACAAAACAACTCTATTCAACTCCTGATTCCAGTGAGTCCATTCTTGACACCGTGCCAGATGTAGCTGTCTGCGTTAGATATCTCTCCAATCATGTCCGATTGCGTTGGTTGTACTGAAGGGGTCTCTAAAGACACTGTTACAAGACCATTTTTTCCAATATTAAATCGTTGTTGTAGCATTCCGGCCAGTCCAATTTACCAAATGGACATCCCAACCTCTCGTACGCCTTGTAGGTACTATCCTATACAGGGTGTCCCAGAAATAAGTGCAAATATTTTAAGGGGTGGTAGATCTCGATAAAAGAAACATATCTTCTCTCCTAACCACTGGATCTTTTCCGGATTTTCTTGCTTGTAAATTTAATCTATTACCTATGTTGCCATATTACCAAGAAATTATGTCTTTTAACTAAAAACTAAAAAAAATTCCAAAAAATTTCGAATTTTCAAAATTTTTGTTTCGCGAAAAAAACCTCATAGGCGTGCTTGTGGGGTTGAACTATACTACCAGTTAAAATATTTGCACTTATTTCTGGGACACCCTGTATAGTCAAATTCCCTTTAATTGAAGATACACGGCATGTCATCGTACAGGAGGCATTGCTAAACGATGTTTTCAATACCTCCAAAGGTAATACAACTGAATATCTCGAAACACATTCTCAAAAAAAAGTTTTTTTTATTAACTAAAGTCTGGATATTTGTAAACAGACTGGTATAAAAATGTTATCGTTTGCTACACTTGATGCAGGCAATCAACCCAGAAAGCATTACAAATATAGTATATATACTGGGTGTTGCATTTTCTATGTAATGCTTATTTTACAATTTGAGTGATAATTCTGTATTTTTTCAGTACTATTGTGAACACTGTTGGGCAACAATCCATTCGAGACCGGGCAGGGAGTTCCACAAACCCCTAGTTAAAGAAGGGGCCGACAGACCCAGGGCTGTGCCCTTTCGTTGGTGTTAACGCAGGGGTAAAGCGGCCCCCCGAGCCGTAGCCCTTTAGCTCATTACCACGCAATGACGGCTACGGCCCCACCACGTCTTATCTCCCTTCCCAAACTCCTCTAGGCGAAATATTAGTACCGTAAAACAGTCCTGGACAGAGCTTAAAAGGACCTGAGAGGAAAATCGTAGAAAGTCTTGGGTTTAGGGTATAGTGACAGCGTTAAAAAATCTATCAAATATTTCCTTTTTTAATACAGACAACACATATAATTTTATCTAATAGAATTTTTAGTTATTGGGATTCAAATTGGTGGTTGCAAATGCTAGAAATTAATAATACCATATGGTTAATAAGATTTATAATGCCTTTAGACAATGATAACGAAAATACGAGAATTTCCTTCTGTTTTGACTTGAAGAAATTTTATTTAACGGAGCTGTCAATAAATTATAAAAATTATTAATCTTATGATATATAAAACCTTGTTAGTAAAGAAAATGTTATTTTAATATGGTAAGGGCTTCAGTTTATCTGTGGTATATTAATTAGTACTAGTCTAGTCCATGATTTGTCTTTGATTACGTTGTGCTGTCAAACAGTGTAGATTTAAACTAATTTTGACTGATATATCATTATATCTCTAAGAAATGATTCTTGTTTTAACATAATTCTAATAAGGATTTAATCGATATTTTAAAAATACGCTTATCTAGGTAATGATTAAATATAAGATTAAAATTCTAGCGCACGCTACTGATTTATTACAAGAAAATGGTAATGTTAGTAACGGCGTCCGCTTCCGACGTGATGATTTGCTTGATTTGAATGTAACCTATTAGCAGGGCAAGGAAAATATATAAGAAAAGCGCCCGAGTTTTCAAAATCAATAAAATACGAAATAAAATGCGCCGTTGCCGGTTTGAGCTACGATTCAGTAGATTTACTGAAAAAAAAACAATTTGGAAGTAACGTCGTGAACGTAAAGGCCTATTCCAATGTTATACGACTTTCTGCACTTTCTCTCAGAGCCTACGAGTCTAGGACTAGTTAGTAGCAATTATACATATTTAAAAATATTACTTATATTAAAAGATATCTCTTGTAAATTGGAGCAGGACGATGGCTACTATTTTTCTGCACTAGTCATCCGACGCGATAAACTTTGGCCTATGCCGTTATACAGGGTAGATCAAAAGTTTCGTCACATAAAAACCAGTTTTACCTATACCAGTAAAAAAATGTGAATTTTTAAAACTCTTGAACAGCCCTGTGCAACTGGCGTAATTTTTCTCATTAGTATATTCTAAATCTGTATTTCAAAACCTGTTCAAGGCAATTCCGAAAAGAGTTAACTGAGTTCGTCAACTGAATAACACAAGTCTTGCTTTCTAGCAACTCTCTCACCATCTTTAACTTTGCTGTAATTTAGTAAATACACTATTAAAACTCTAGATGAATATTTGAAGAGTAGGACTTGGTTATGGCAATTGATAAATGAACTAATTTTGTTTGACTTGTCACTTGTCATGTTTTGAGACAGATTCTGTTGAACAAAACTTAATGAGGTGACTAAAATTAGAAGCATATTTTATAAATTTCGATTTTTTATAATGCCACAAAACTTTTTTAAAGCTTTTTTTATAGATAGATATATATTAAATTTTTAAGTCTATAAGAATCTGCACAAAGTGTTTTTTATCCTTTTATGTATTTTCCTCAATCCCATAATTTTTGTTGGAATTCAAAATTTTATAAAACTGTTCGAAATTATAAATTGTAATGTATATTTTTGTGCATTTTTTTGTAGATTGGTCTTTGTTTTAATAATGTATGTACAAGATCGCGGTGATTTTTAAGAATTTTTTGTTTCTGTGTGGCATCTTTATCGTTTTTAGTTTTGATTTGAAACTAGTGTGGAAGTTAACATATACCGTACCCCTTTAACCGCTATCTTGTCAACTTAAATCGTTTTTATTTTATAATGGACATATTAGTAAATTTATTAAATTGTAATATAAAGTCGAGTGTGGAATGTCTAGTCTAATAATTCTATCTGGTAGTAAAGGCCAAAGGGCTAACATTTTTTACTATTACTATTATTATAATTATTAATTATAATTCTTTTTTATCTAGCATGTTATTACTAAATACCATTTTTAACCGTAAGCGGTTGCAGTTACTATAGATCGTTTGACCTACAGATCAACAAGTTTTATGGCTAGAACTGACAAACAAGTTTGCGCATCCATGCATGCTGAAATTGCTTAAAACCAAAAAAAAATTAAAGAAATCTTTGTGATAGAAATCGACTGACCAAACATCAGACCATGAAGGTTTTGTTGATCTGTTAGTATGTTTAAATTTGATGCATGTAGACTTTTTTCATATATACAGGGTATATCAAAATTTCTAAAAAGATACTACGAAATACTTGACCAAAAACCAATGAGAACACAGGTAATCGAAGAAAGAAAAAAAATTTCGGGAAAACGTGTAAGATTATGCACTAAACTTTTTCAAGTACAAATAATAATTTTTTTGTATGTTGTGCATTTCCTTTTGATGGGGATATTATAGATGACAAAACACGGGAGGTTTTTCTTTTTGGTGGTGCACCAAACTCAAGTAAGTACAAAGGAAGAAAAAAAGGAAGAATTTACTTTTTTCTTAAAAATCACCTAACAACGCGGTATAGTTATAATATTTTCAGGGTATTGTATATATTAGTCTAACAAAAAGAACGGATACTGTGCAGATATTATGTAGCTTTAAAAAATCGTCCAGCTCGTGTACCTGACTGGAAAATAATTGCATTATTCAATTTTCTTGAAAAATTCAAAATTGGTCAAGTATCGGAATATTTATTAATAAATATCAACTAGAAATTATTTGATTTAATACACTTCTTATTAATATACAAAAATAATTTTCCCAGAATATTTCTATTAAATGTAGAAATGTCTATACCTATTTTTTCTAAGAAATTTTTCTAGAGAATATAAAATAGCTCAGAGAATATCTTTCAGTATTAAAAAAATATATTTTTAAAATATCTACACCTTACTATAATAATCAAAGTGATATTTAATAATAAATCTAATTTTATATATTTCGGTATAATACCTCTGTGAGTTTATATCGTTTTATATATTTATATTTTGACCGATTTGATGTTTTTTTGGCCACTCTGCTATTGAAAACCAGCCTTTCTTACTTTTCTGTAAGGACATAGTCTTCAGAATACGTTTTTTTTCAAATAATCTTTATCCGAGAAAAAAATATATAATATGGTATTTGGTAACACTTCATTCATATCAAGGTTTGAAAGAATTTTCTCGATATATATATCTCATCAAAAAAATGTTTTAAATGTTATTATACTTAAGGATATAGATAATATATTCTTTTTGGCGCTATTAATAACTTAAATTGCGTATTAGTTTACATATTTCCGAAAGATGATGCGAAAAATTTATTATACAACGTAAAATTTTCTATGTCACAAAAATAGGTCTCTTAATTAAACTTTTCTGGATGAAAAAATTTCAAACTAATCGAAAATATACAAATGGTAGCAATTATTAGGGAATATTAAGTTGTATAATGATAATATGTGGAATGATTCTGATCGGAGTTAGGTATGCAAAAAATTGATCGAGAAGGAAAAAAAACTGAAGACCATGTGGCTATTGACCAGCTTCCGCTTGCCTATCCGCCATATATTTACCCGCAATTTTGACCGACCTTTATTTTCGTGTGTGATAACCATTAACGTTTTAAATGTATTAAATCAATTTACACGGATATGTATATAGTCAGCTATTCTAAGACTTTGTATTTTTTAAATTTGAATTTTTATACTAAGCTGTTATAAATGGTGATTAGTAAAAGTTTGTGTGCAATAAAAGAGAAAAAAACAAATATATAACCAGCCTCGAAGGCGATTTTTTAGATTTTTATCTTTTACTGTAATTCGAAATCATACTATCCTAGGTAATTGTGTATATAAAAAAAAACAAAAAAATGATATGCAAAAAGCAGAACTGCAGAAATCTAAAAGCTGCTGTTTATAGCAAGGTTTACATACGTATTTCGTAGTTGAAATTGCTTATGTCTTCGTCTTTGTCCAAGTAATACTAATATTTATGGGTTCTTTTATCTATACCAGAACAATTCTAACGTCCCAGTATATTTCAAGTCTAATCAAATATTCACTCTCTTAATTTCAAAATTTTAATATATTTTTTAAAACTTTTTAAATTGACCTCTTATAGTTAAGCTCTTATATACTATGATAAAATTCAAGTTAAAGTAGGCTATATAATAGAAGAACTAATAAAGTTATTTAATACTTTGTAGCCTCAAATATCAAATAAGGATTATTAAATAGTTTATAAGAATATTAAAATAAACGCACCCATCCAAACAAAAACAAATCTTATTCATAATGTTAATGACATTTTTAAAATATTGTTTCTGTTTTCTGTACTTGTAATTTAAGTGTATTTATAGTATTATTTTGACAAAGGTGTATAGGCAATTGCTTACAAATGAAACCATCTGTAACATGGTACAAATATGTATTTGATATGATTTGTAACAATTTACACTCCCTTTTCTACTATTTGTATTCGCAAGAGAAAAAAAATGTCCGAGAATATAGATCGAACAGTGGCAACAAAAAATGTAATATTACTGTGTAGGCCAATGTCGTTTTTATCTGTTCAATGAGATTTAGAATTTCGCGCTGTTATCAAATACAGACCAGTGCTTATATTTCATATTTTTAATATGTATAAGCGAAACATATTTATTGGAAATCTTTAAATTTCGATATTTTTCACCATTTTTGAACTGTTTTACATTTTTGAGTTTATAATTTTCTCTACAAAAGGCAGTGGTTAAGGAAAAATACCTGTTATTTTAATTCAAAGACATTTTGAAACTAATTATTATTAATTTTTCGGTAATTTTTCAAAATTAAAAAAATGATATCCACTGCTCTTTTGTCGATTAAATGATTCTGATTTTGACTTGCAAGGACCAGAATGCGAAGTTTTTGTAATCGATAGCCTGTTTGATCACGTGAAATTCGTATCGTTTCCCATATGAAGTAACTATTTTGAACACCAAGGAAGAGGAGGAAGTACACATAATATACACTACAAATAAATAATAATAATGGTTTAATTTTGTACATAATGAAAATCGCGTGGTCTTACGTACACGTGATATAATAGTTGGTAATTTCAGTCAGATAAAACTATTAACATTTCATTTTTCTTATTTTTTTTGGGGGAGATTTAGATACAAATTTCATGTATTATATAGTTACCCTTTTTAGTGCAATATATCGGGCTGTGTCTTAACTTGGCATAGGGGCTCGATTTGTAGGGTTTAGTCAATTGTTTCAGATTCTTATTGTTGGTCTATTGGTTGTATCTTCGGTTTTTGTCCGAACGGAGACCAATGGCTGTTTTGACTAGCACCAAAGTAGATTTTTATCATACCGTATTATTTTTTGTAATAATGTATTTTACTAAATATTTAAATTGTTTTTATAATTATTTTATACACTTTTATATGTTTGTTAGTCAATCTTGAGGTAAGGTTTGTAAAACTTCTTGGGAAGTTCCTCATTTACTGTTTTGTTAGATGATATCAAACTTTTTATGTTTTTTATAAATAATATATAAAATGTCAATTTGTGTTTATTTGATAAACTGCTGTTAAACTTCTTTCTGTTATTTTATTACCCAACCCCCTATATTATTTATCTTTCATTTACATACAGAACACATCTCAAAAGATTTAGTCAAAAATATTCCATATAAATACGTTCTAAAAATATCAGTTTCATCAATCAAGTGCGATTTCGACAAATATATGTATTGCCAAATTAACAAGCATATCATATTACAGTACGTCTGTTCGTTCTGTAGCTACGGGGTATCCGTGAGAGGGGCAACGATATTCTCTCGATGTTTTTCGTAAAAAATTAGACTAAGCGTCCCATCAATAAAAATTCGACAAATTTGCAAGTAGTCAATAAAATGAGTGGGAGGAGCGATTTGCGGTGACATACTCGTCAAGTCGACGTATAAAATATATTGTTGTTTATTTAAATGTTTTTTGTCCGCATTCCTTTCATAGACACAGAGCCAGCAGATGTACTGTATGTAGGTATACAAAAAAGGGGGAAATAATTTAAACAAATACTAAAATTTTATCGATTACTATGCAACAACTATACCTATTTAGAATTTTTTGGAAAAATTTGACCCTTCTGTACTTAATAGGAAAAAAATGTAATATAATAAATATATATGTAAACAATATGCAGGGTGAGTCTTAAACGGAACACCTATATGAGGTGTGTGTGAAAAAATCGTGCTTTTTCTTTTAAATTTTCCTGTATATTTTTTTAAAACTTTTTAGAACTCCCTGTTCACCGCAAATCTCTTGTTATAATTTATTAATCTCTGATATTACCTGTGATATTACCACCGTGACGCCTTTACTCTATGGTTGCTAACACTTGTGTCTAACCCCAGCAGGCTACTATTAAGCCCGACCAATCACGTTAGAGTTTTTGACAAAAACCAATGAATTAACACATTCCAAATAACCACGCTAACCAACCTGATGTTTCAAGCTTAATAGTTGCCTGCTGGGGCTAGACACTTCTGTTGCTAACGCACTTCATCGATGCGATTCGTTACTTCGTGTGCAAATTCGTCCATTGTCTATACAACCTTCACAAGTCCTTTTTCCATCAACCTTCTTCTTACAGTGCCATACTCTATATAGAGCGTCGGCTACCTCTCGCATGTACTTGTGATGTGTGTCATCAGTGTTTCACAAGTACACGGGACCTACAGTTTACTACCGAATCCGAACGGCACTATTTGAGAGGCTGTACAAAGCAAAAGGCAAATATACTCAAGGTGGTTTGCCATTGCCTTCCTTAAGGTGGCGGCTCGTTGGTCGCTCTATTTAGATAAATAAATATTCTTATTTAAATAAATAAAGCGACCGTACTGTCTGGGGATCGAACCCAGTACCTTCTGCTCCGCAGATCGACACATTAGCGCTGGAGCTATACGGCCGGCCAGGCTAACGCACTAAAAAGATGCAAATACAGAAAAAATCCGGTGGCTCTCAAAATTTTTGTATCATCAACTCACCCTGTATATATATATATTTTCAGGGCTGGTAGATATCGATGAAAGAAACTCTCTTTACCGTTTTTTACTTTGAAAATTTCCAAAAAAAAAAAAGATTTTTTGCTAAAATTTTGAGAACCACTGGATTTTTTTCTTGTAAATTTAATCTACTACCTGTGTTGCTATAATATCAAAAAATTAGGATTTTAAGTAAAAAAAGTCCAAAAAATTTTTCCAAAAATTCCAAATTATCTATTTTTTTGCGAAAAAAAACTCATAATCGGGTTATTACGTATAACAAATAACTGTATACCAGGAAAAACAAATATAGACGTATCAGACAAAAATAATGAATATGTAATAAAATTGTTTGTAAATAAATATTTTTGATCAAGAATAATGTTATTCAAAAATATATAAAATTCAGAAAAATAATAATTATCTACTATTTCTATACGTTTTCGTAAAATAGAGTCACATTTTTGTTATCTTATTATAAATTTATGACCAATACCATATTATACCGATTCATATTATTTCTCCCGAGATTATTTTGAATAAAATAAAAACAGTTAAAAAACGCTTTCTAGCCATGCTTGTGAGCATGAGCATGCGTGAAAGAGCGCTCGTTTTCAGTTAGACTTGTCATTAAATTTTAAAGAACTTTCAAAATTATTCATACAAAACACGAAAAATCACGAAAAAATTTAATTAAACCAAAAAGCATAAATAATATCTCTGAAACATTAAAATTAGTTATCAGCAACACTTATTTTAAATGCAAAATTAACCAAATAAAACGTTATTTATCAGGAATGTTATGTTAAAAAATCCTACCGTATGTCTCCCAGAACATCTTGACAACACACTAAACACCTTTACAATTTTTTTTAAAATCAGAATACATGAAATAATGGAAGAATGAAAACGCGACATGATTATTCCCGCATCTATAAGTTACGACTATAAAATTCGTGTAGATGGCGCTAAAGTTGATAAATTTTAATGGTTTAAAAAAAAGTAGTGTGCCCGAAAGATATTTAAATAATTAGGAATCAGTGTATTTCTATATCAAATAATAATGATAATAATACTTTGTTTTCCATATTTTCGAGTGTCTGCTATAATTAAATAGTAATAAATTTATATTTTGTGATTTTGGGATTTACTCAAGAGCGGCAGAATAACATAAGGGAAGAAACCTTGCACCCTGTTCCCAAAACTCATGAATAAATCCTCATTGAACACCTTTGGCTCCTTTACTATCATGCAATGGTTTGAATGTGTAATACTTTTTAAACTTGATATATTAATGTAGAAAAAAACGATAATGAAGGATAAAATAACACAAGTTAATAAAAAAACCTTTGTTTAATAATTTTGTTATAATTTAAATATACAAGTGGAAAAATATACATGTTATTAAATAAGAAAAGAAACAAAATTTTACAAAGCAATGATTTTACTCATCTGGTATAACTTTACAATAATCAATTACTTAAAATGAAATTAAGTACAGCAACGCTATGAGAAAAAAAAAGAAGAAAATAAATAAACATTTCTGTGCCAAAAGTACGGTTACTCATAAATTTTTAAACTTCTAAATTTATTATCCAAACCACATACCACATACATATGAGATTAATAATTGTACAACTGTATTAATGATTAGATTACAGATGAAATTACGTGAAATTACATTTAAATATCACTTAGTGCATTCAACATTCACTCTAGAAAATTTTAATCTCTTAATTTTCACGTCTGCTGCTTCAGCTGCGTCAGTTTTGTCTTCACCTCGTGGAAGTTTGGTCTCTTTTCTGGATAGAAATCCCAAGCCTAAAAATACAAAAAAAAATAAAATGATTTTTGAATACTTTCAAAACTGTCTACACTTCTCTGGGTAGTTTTGCATAGGGATGTATATACTATACCAACTTGCAGGAAGGTCAGAACAAATAAATACACGTGACGAAAATCAAATATAAACGCCAGATTAGGCAAAATTATCTTGCATTGCCAAAACACAAGAAATAATAAAAATAAAGTTAAAGAGAAAACACACCACAAATAATAAAAATAAAGTTAAAATAAGAAAATAAAGTTAAAGATAAAAATAATGTCACCTGTCTCATGATTTGGTAAATTTCTGGAGGACATCCTTCAGGAGCTTCCATTTTGTATCCATTTTCCACATGCCTAACTACGTCAGCTAATGGCTAAGATAAAAAAAATGGTATGTAAAGACAGAAGAAAAAAAAATTTAAAAAAAATATTAAAAAATATAAATATGTAAAACTACTTACTATCCTTGGATAAGGAACTCTTCCAAATGAATATATTTCCCATAACAAAATTCCAAAACTCCACATATCCGATTTATTTGAGAATTTCTAAAAAATAAAACTAGTTATTTATAAATATAAAATGATATATAAATGCATATTCATAATATTTATACTCCAGAATAAAATGTATATAATGAATCAATGCGTAAAACAGAGCTATAAGAAATAATTTTATCGAACTTTTTTATCCATGTGACGGGACGTAGAAAAATTGCATAATTATTTTAAATTGGATTAATTTGTTAACGACCTGTCTCAAAATAGTTTCATTTGATTTGCCGGCATTTTATGTTTTAAATAAAACCATCAACATGCGCTACACTCTTTATAACATAATTTGCAGAAACGTAACGTACTCGTGAATGAAATTGATGCTAATAATGTCATTTCCTCAATATGACTAATGGCACAAAAAATTATGTACATTTTTTTAAAATATTAAAACAAATCTTACATTGTGTTTTAGAGCTTCCGGTGCTGTCCATTTGATAGGAAGTTTTGCCGATTCAGAGGCAGCATTTTTCTCATTTCTTGCCAAACCAAAATCAGATACTTTTGCTCTTCCATTTTCGGCTATTAGTACGTTCCTAGCTGCCAAATCGCGATGCACAACGTGCATTTTCTCTAAATACTCCATGCCTAAAGACAAAATAATATGATAGCTGCCAATTTTAGGAATATATTAAATTACCTGAGCACGTGTCATAAGCAAAATTGATCTGATCTTTTTTGGAAACGTGCAGTCTTCCTCTTGACCTTAAATAATCAACTAGGCTGCCCTTACTCATATATTCTGTGACTAAGTAAATGTGATCTTTTTTCCTAACAATTCCAAGTAAATTCACAAGATTTTCGTGATGAAGAGATCTAAAAATAATTCAAACATATTTTTCATCGTCCTTCAGTTAAGTAAATAAACACTTAAAATAAATAGTATAGTCTGTTTATTTCATATTATATTCAATTTATATGAAGTATATTCGGGTAATTTTTAGCCTGAAAGCACTGATTTTTAAACCGGTTTTTTTAAGTACAAAGTGCATCATTTTCCTCATTTTCCGTATAATTAAATTGCCATCTATTCTAGTTCTACTATTTACATTGAAACCTTGAATTGCTTAGCAATCCGTTTAATAAAAAAACTAAAAATATGTTTACTAGGTGATAATGAATTAGGAAAATAAAAAAAAATGTATTATATTTTTCAGTAATTATCACCTATTGGTTTTACGTTTTTATAAAGCTCGATTTATTTTAATTTAAAATAAAACTTACTTCATTAGTATCGCTTCGGCTTCACTAGAATCTTTTAAAACTTTAACAGCTACTTTTTGATTTTTCCATTTTCCTAGCATTACTTCGCAAAATTCGCCTTTCCCTATGGGTTCACATACCTAAAAATAATAAATTGTAATAAAAAAATATTGAAATATAGAATTTTTTTTTTCTTTAGAAATTATACTTACAACCAAGTCTTCTTCGGGTATCACACAAAGATCATCACTTTCTTTTGAGCTGCTTTTTGTGAGAGTTTTAGCTGTCTCGTGTTCTTTTGGAAGAGCATTCACTAACTTCGTACATAATCCATCTGCATCGTTCTTATAATGTTCGATTAATTCATCCAAATTATCAAAGAATTCTTCGTCGTCTATCGTTAATTTATTACTATGGGACTTAACTCTTCAAAAAAATATATTTATTTTAGATTAGATAATATTATGTTTTTTAAGAGTTTCTGTATACCTGTAGTGTTCGACTTTTGATTGAAAACAAACACATAAAGTGTAGTCACCAGGAAAATTTGTAGATTCCCTTACTAAAAACAACCCGTCTGTCCGAGGTCTCAACAAACTTTCCGCTTCTTCTCTTGATATTTTCCCATGAAACCAACTAAAAAAAATCGCCTAATCAAAATAAACAATCACAAATTTAGAAGAAGAAAATCTTACGGCGTAGTCATATACTTTGAATGGTGTTTTAAAGGACTCTGAACGCGATTAACATTGACATCGTGCTCCGTTGATATAATTTGATTTTTAATATTGCCACTTTCCGATGGACTAACATTCATGTTGATTTGTGACCTTAGGAGTAAGTTGCATTCATTTAACACATTATTATCCATTTGAGTGGATAAATCTTGAGGGGCCATCTATGCAATGAACATTAAAATTAGTTTAACTGCAGCTGCCACAAGTGTTTCTTAATATAAAAAATGAACTATATAAATTATAGATATAGTCCTTTTGATAATTGTCCCATTATAATTTAGTTTAAATCATTATAGAATTACTAGTTGCATAGTCAACTACTTTAATCATTAAAATTGTGTTTAATCAATCAAGCATTTTATCATTTTCATATGGTAATAGCATACAGATGTTTAAGAAATAAACTCATGTTGTAAAATAATTATAATACATCTTAGATAGATTTTTTTACCCAAGATGGCTCCTCATAAGGACGGGTGGTAACTTCACTAGGGGTATTTCTTTTAATACCCCTAGCTGGCACTGTTGGAGGGGTTGTAACTGTAGAATTTTCCCATTGACCTTCTGGTTGTCGATATTGATCAAATATATATGGTTGGTACCTCTAAAAAATTAATAAAAGATATGTATAAAGTGTATTTGTCATTTCATAATCAAATAATAATATTATTCATACAGTTAACAAAAACAAATTTCCACCTTCTATTGGTGTATTAGACATTTAACTAGTAAGAACACTAACAGCCTTCTAATAGTGAATAAGATAATAGTATTGATAAATTGAATTGCTGTCTTCCAATGTATGGCTAAATATTAAAACAAATATGTTGGGTAGTAAATATTGATTGCAAATTTTAAAGTACACTTATGTTTAAGGTAATCTGATACTATTTCTTATAAAACTATACAACATAGATATTATGATGTATATTTAGATAGACTATATAATATTTTTAGTCACAAACTAAAATACCTAGTTAAATATCCAGATACTTTCTTTAATGTAGCCCTAATTAATTATTACTGACATACCTGTGTAAATGATGAATTTTGGCTGGTCATCACTTATTAATTATAAGCTTCCTCACATTATATTCACAAAAACAAACTTAAAACTTTCTTCACTGGAAATAGCTTCAGTTATTTGCTATGTTTGCCACACAGATTGTTAATGTATATTTTACTTCAAATTAACTATACTATTCCTATAACTGTGCAGCTCAAAGATGAGCATAAATTCCTTTTGAGAAAACTAAACAGAGGTATACAATTTTTGATGACAATAACAATTTTATAACAAATAGTTAAATGCCAGCATCTGTTTTGACATACAATTTAACAAGCTGGAGCTGGAGTGTTGTTGTTAATAAATATAAAACTTGGTTATTACACTAATTTCATTGAATCATCCCGATACTTAAAATCCATTATAAAAATATGTAAATAATTTAACACACACACAATTTGGAGACTTCACAAAGAAAATATCACGATTAAGTTAGTTGGACTTCTCATATTTTAACTGTTATATCAAAAATGTGCATAAAAATAGGCCAACATTTGTGAAAAACATACTTCAATACATACAATTGTAACATAGGACTCCATTTTGATTTTTGAGATGCCGGAAAAACAGATTTCTGTTAATTACGGTGTGTGACATCTAGACGAAAGTCACCAAACTAAATTGTTTATGGTACAGATTTCTTATATCGATCACAGTGGCTATATCTACAGTGACTCTATCTATTCTTTTACTTTAAAGAGGTTTAAAGATGGTTTAAGCTTTCCCACAGTGGAAAAAATATATGTCCAGGTAGTAAAATATATTTTAAATATATTTTTTAATATTTTGAATGACATTGATAATGGTTATATGTCAGACGTCAAGTTGCAAAACCCGCCTTATCCTTTTTTTAAAAAAAATTGCCTAAAGACATATATTAATAGTGAATCCTGAAAACTACATAAACATAGTCCCAAATTGCAGCAAAAATCGCCTATTTGTATATAAAATTTACTGCAAATTATGTTACTGCAGCAAAATCCGTCTTATCCACTTAAATTTGCTTTTTATTGTCATTATCTCATCATCCAAGTCACAAATGCCGCATTTTTTATAGGTCTTTTTAAACAATTATTATATTACTACTTACTGACGTCTTATCCATTTCAAATCCATACCTACTTTTAATAAAATAGTATAGCTAATAAATCAAGTTAGGATGCAAATTTCTGGCTGTTGCAAAACCCGCAATATGCATCATAGGTACTGCGAAAAACCCCGCCTTATCCGAATTATTTTTGTGTTTTTTCTCTTTAAAAATTAAATATTAAATTTTATTTCTAGAAAAACGAAATATAAAACAGTTCAACAACAATTCCACTCAATGGACACGTTTTTTTTGTAAAATAACGCTTCAAACATTTGCGACAACAGTTTTTGCATTATTATCTCCAAACAACGTTTTTGGGATAATACGGGTTTGCAACTTGACGGTTCATGTATATGTGTAGGTATACCTACACTTTACAGTCATCCAGATAATTTTAAACAGACTATTGAAATGATAATTAATAAATTATTAATAATTTAATTTAAGATAATAAATGTGTTAGGAAATTTGAATTAGGTATGAATAAGGCTTATATGAGGGAATTAGATATCAAAGGGTAATTCCAGAAAATACGGAAATTGCAATATATTAATTCTAAAATATTGGAATATATATTTACACTGAATCATATACGAGTGCTGCTTCTTTTTAGATAATCGTTTATTGTATCATGTTAGATAATATAATTTGCTAAAGCTTACTCATATTATTAGTAATCTTTTTTATTCTAAGACACTGTTTATTAAAAACCTCCACACAATGATGCCAGATTATTTAAAAATACTTGATAAAGGATACTATTTGAATATGATATCGACTTTATTCTGTATTATTTATAGAGGAAAAAAAGGTACCTATTACAAAATAACAATTTTTAGTATATTTGGAACTTTAAATAGCAATAAAACCTATGAAAATGTTAAATAATTTCTATAAGGTAAGCGAATCCCAGATACAAATATTCTCCTAAGCATCTGGCAACTCTGAATACACCAACCAATCTCACTAGTTACCTGTGCGCCGTCGCGCGGATGCCACTCCTAGCCTTTATTCATTTTATAGGGATTTTTTGTTGTTGTCAGCCATAAAAGTTCTTTTTAGTTTAGTTTCAAATACTGGACAGTTTTTCCTAATTATAAGTGCATTTTCTCATTTTTCAATCAGTATTTCACTTAAATAGTGTTTCGTGCAGTGTAGTTATTTATCAGTACATAGTGTAAAGGGTAAAGCTAGTTTACTTGTACATCTAATGTTGGTAACTAGTATCCCGAAACTGAAAGTAAAGGTATTTCGAGTTCTTTGTGCCTTTTGAACTCTCATGGCTTAGCTGAAATGCCAACTACAGTTTGTTTTTTAACACGGAATATTTCTTTTGTTAGGACTTATTTAATAATGTCGAGCAGTAGTATTAAAAACACACAACTTTGAAGATGTAAACATACAAGATTGCCTCAACGTTTTATTTAATTTGTGATTTTGTGTTCTCTTTAACGCTGTTTTTTCAAGATGGGCTTTTATATGTTAATATATTTAATAACTATACTTTGTACCATACTTTTCGTGACAATAAGTGAAACACAGCATGTAACAATTCCTGATGATGATGGTAAGTATATTTTCATGCCTAGAAAATTATTTTACTGTTAGTTGTTCTTATTTGTATCTTTCCTTAACGTGCGTATACCTAGAAGCATGCTTTTCTTTGAACAATCTATTTTTGTACAATTTTCTGTTAACTATTTAATTTTCTATTTTTAATATACCTATGATTTATATAAAACGGTTCAGTTATCTTATATTTGACAGGTAAATGCAGAGATTTTCCGTAAAAATCAACTGACATCAGTGATAAATTAATGTTATTTTGATATTAATTTTTCTTACAGAAAACATAAAATTATTCGGTGTTCCAATTATTCTATTTATTAAACTGTTTTTTTAAGAAACAAACATTTATTCATATTATTTTTGCACTGGGCATATTTAAAAAAGATCGTTTCTGGTAATGCCTAATACCATATATTTGAAGTGTTTTTCAGCCCTAGATACTTTATCACTGTGTAAATAATTGATATAAATAGACGATTATATTTGTGGGAAATTAACTTTTTATACCTGCAAGTTTAATTTAAAAAAAATGTTATAGGTACCTGGTAACTATATGATTTTTAAAACTTAATTTTTAATTCCTATCAATTTGTTTAATTTAATGCCGAAGAAATATTTGTAACATTAATAATGTGAATGAATCATCTATTTTCTATTATCACGTTTATACCAATTGAGATATGTTAGTTTTTCCAAGCATGTAAAATTGTAAACATCTATTGTTCTAGAAAAAAAATCAGAAAATGCAAAATCTAATTGAAAATAGACCTGTTCTATGTTTAAACATTTATTTATTTATTAATAAGAATAATACGCTTTATGATTTTTGATGTTCTTCTAGTTTTGGTGCTATTTTTATGTACTGTAACATTAAAGTTACACTTTATAGATAGTACTGCAAATTAATCATTGATAAGATAATTTATTGAAAGCCCTAGATTGCAATTTTTTATTCTATTCCTGGAAGTCAGGAATCTACGTCAGAATACGTATTGTGGAATTACTGAAAATGTGTAGATATTGTAGTTGTTAAAATAAAAATAGTGTATTGGTCGCGTTATAAAATTAATTACTCCATATATTGGAAATATACTTAGACAGGAATTATCAAATTAGAAAGCATTCTCGGACACTAAAAATATTCAGTTAGATATATGCAGTAAAACGTGTGAAAATTTCAAATTTATGACACGTAATCTGGCAACTTTACACATTCAAATAGACATTACGGGATTATGAAATAATCAATGCGATCTCAGGTACTGTGTGTTGAAAAGAGATACATATACACATTTTAATTTGGTAGGTTGCGCTTGAGATATTCCGACGACATGACATTTGGGCGTAACGAATAAAGCAATGTTGTCAGCTCGTATTGTTTTCCCGACAGTCCCTTTAAATTATTAAAGTATCTTCTCCGAAAGACTACCTTTTTACTTACACTATGCGGGTGTATCTGATTTTATTTAGTAATATGGAAATTTAACCTTTTGAAGATCAAAATCCATGTGTTCTCGAATTTCAACCACATCAAAGAGCAATGTGGGGTGCCTATAGATTGATTTTAGTATTATATATCTTTCAAGAAGCCCGCGTAAACCTGGGATACAATTTCTGATAGTTAATTAATTCTTTAAACCTTACCAGTCACTACGTTTAGATTGAAACGTAACTTTTATTATTTTGTCTGGTTTTTCATTGGGTTCTTTTCATTAGGTTAGGTTGAAACACCTATGCACAAGGTTAAAAAATGTTATGAGTGACTCATTTACTTTGATTAAGGAAATAACGACTATGTTATAATGCTTTAATTAATATTCAAAGAATTTTCTAACTAGCACTATTTAAAGTTTAAAATCCTTAACTTCGTCGGCATACGTATTTCAAATAAGTTCTGTCTACTATTAAAAGAAAATATTTCTTATGTTGTTATTAGTTATTATATGAAAGCGTGTGAACTATATTAATGTAAAGTATTATCAGCAGATTATATTATTATTAATTTTTTAAAAAACACATTTAGTAAATTGATAGCTAACGGAAGCTTAGTTATTGTGTGATCTTAGATTTAAATCCAAAACTATATATGTAAAATTTCAAATTTGAGACGCGGTGTATAAATGACACATAACGGATAAAAATTGAGTGACCTTTAAAAATGTAGGCTACTGTCTGTAGTACAATAAACTCATTCATCGTTGACATTAATGGTACAATATTTTTTCTTTCGAATTTAAATTTTTATGAGTGATCAGTTTTTGTGGAACTCGACTAATTTTGTGGAATGACTCATACGACGGGGGATTCAGGTTCGATTCCGAGAATCGATGAAATTCTTTTAACGTATAAGCATATCCGTTAATATGTAGAAAGCTTTTTCTTGTTAAATCACATTGTTTTCCAAGCCTATTTTATTCAAAATGTCACACATCTATCTTTTTATCAGTCAGTTAATTTTCTCTTATAAATTAGGGCACACATTTCAATCACACATAAAACATCATTTGATATACCAAAAACTTAAATATATTTATTTATAATAAATGTAAGGCTATTAATGCTAAGTAGCTAGCGGTTTTATTCATCTTCTACTTAAACATAATATGTTTCTTACTTCTACTTAAACATAATATGTTATAGTTTAGCTGTGTTAAATTTGACTCAACTTTAAACTAGCTTTTGATTACAAACAAAGCTTTTAAATTGTTTGTATATAAATTTTGTTTATAGAATAACTTTGGCGCCTTGAATCTAATTCAAATGCATAAATTGAGCATTAGAATAATTAATAAGCAGAGAAGCGCTTATCGTGCATTCCTCCAGATAACGCACACAAATGCATTTTTTTATTAGGAGAAACAACATTAATTGATGCACTGATTGGACCTTAATCGCTTGTGATTGAATCAATAAAGATTCATAAAAATAAATGAATTTAGTAATATTTCAATTAACTTTTACAATTTTTCAGTATTTTAATTCCCCAAATTAATGTCAGTTGATTTTGATATGTATATTTCTTTAAAAATTCAATTTAATAATTTTGTAGACAATTTTGACTACTCCGTGGGCAAGTCGCAACCTCTTAGATCAATGTCAACCACTAACGTAACCACTGACAATAACAAAAAACCTATGTTCACTGAATGTGATAATTACAAACCCTCTGTAAAGGAAGAACAAGTGGCTGGAACGTTTGTTATACAGGTATCTTTTTTTAATTGAAACAAAAGAATATTTCAAACTTTACGGGGTGGTTCTAGATCAAAGCTCAAGACGACGACCCCTTAAATGCGGGTGGAACGGTCAGATACAAAATAGTACGACGTGAGGGTGGCAGAGACTACTTTTCGATTGACAATGAAACAGGGGTGGTCAGAACTATGATGCAGTTCGATCGTGACGAACCTTTGAGGCAGAAGGAACTTTATTTGACTGTACAAGCTACAGATAATGGAAGACCACCCCTTTCTGACATTTGTACTTTCAAAGTTACTGTTACCGACATAAATGACAACCCACCGCAGTTGGACCAACAGGTACGCACATGCTTATTCCATGACAACATGAAATAGTTTATTTATTTTGTATTGTTATATTCAAACAGATGTATACGGCACAAGTAGCTGAAGATTTGAAGCCAAACAGCGAAGTGATGAGAATTTTTGCGTACGACATCGACGATGGAATGAATTCGAAACTAACTTATAGTTTTCAAGATTCAGGCTCCAATTTGTTCACGTCCTATTTCAGGATCGATCCTGACACAGGTGTTGTGTATCTTGAACAATCTTTGGCGTCGGTAAGTACATCTATTTCCTACGTTCTTCATCATTAATAATTACTTCTTATCTTAGTTTGGATTACTAAGTGTACATTCTACTCTTTAAAAGACTATAAACATAATCTGATGGTTGTAATATTGTTTAGTACGAAAATGAATATATTTTTTTAGAAACGAGATACGAAATTTATGACAACAGTTAAAGTTAAAGATAATGGCGAAATACCTTTAGATACAGAAGCTAGCGTTTCTATCACGGTAGTCGGTTCCGATAAACAACCTCCTAGAATCAAAAGCCGAACCCCCGAAAATGATATCGTTCTAAAAGAAAATTTTAACGATTACCAAGCTCATCTGGTCACTATCGAAGCCGAGTAAGTTTTTCCTTAAGTTTAAATTAAAAAAATAAAAATTTCAATTTTAAATTCCTTCTAGATCGAGTATAGACGACGACGAAGTCGCGTTTGAACTGATCAAAGGTAAAACGATGCAAACTAACCAAGATCAAACCTTCGTTTTAACTCCAAGCGACAAAAACGACAACACAGCTTACATTACTCTAGCCCGAGCTTTAGATTATGAGACGGTTACGGAATATACTCTGAGCGTTCGCATCAAAAATAAAGACTTAATGGACACTTCTATAAACATTCCGATCAAAATCGAAGACGTTAACGACGAGTTACCGAACTTTATCGAACTGATCAAAGGCAGCGTGGTAGAGAATGACGATCCGGGTGCTCAGGCCATGGTAGTAAGAGCGATTGATAAGGACGGCACTTCAGCAAATAATATCGTCAGTTATGAATTGCTGTCGCACACAGAGTCGTTTGAAATCGACAGGTCGTCGGGTGTGATCAAATCCAAAGTCATTTTCGACAGGGAGAACACCAGCGTGTATCACGTAAAAGTTCGAGCGTACGATAATTCTCCAAGTGCCCTTAAAAATACCGGCGATCCCAACGAGGCTCAACAAACGTTCCAAATTAGTATAGAAGATAGAAACGATAATAATCCAAAGTTTACGCAATCCTTGTATAACTGCACGGATATTTTAGAAAACACTGACATAGGCAAAGACGTGGGTGAAGTCAAAGCTCTTGACAAAGATAGCGCTTCTCTGATAACCTACAGTATAATTGCTGGGAACACTGATGATGCATTTTTCATTGAAAACACCACGGGAAGAATAAAAGTAAACAAAGTCCTAGATTACGAGAAAATTGAAAAATACACCCTCACTGTGCGCGCATTTGATGGCATTTACGAAGACACTGCAATGGTTGCTATATTTATCGCTAACGTAAACGACGAAGTGCCGATTTTCGAAGAACATGATAAGGTGATTCAGATTGAAGAAGAAACCGTTCCCAGCGACTGCATCATTACTGTTAAAGCCTACGATCCGGATATAAAGAACAAAGATGACGACCAACACATTATCTACACAGTTGAAGGTGATTTTCTGGAAGTAAACAAGGAGGGATGCGTTAAGCTTATAAAACCACTGGACAGAGACAGACCTTTTGGTAGTCCGTCAAGACAAGCTTATATTTACGCTTATGATAATGATGGAGCTCACAATTCCATGAACGCCGCAACAGAAATAATGATACAGCTTGATGATATTAATGACAATGCTCCATTTTTAAATGTCACTGTCGTCGTTTGGTATGAAAACCAGGAAGCAATCAACCCTTTGTTTATCACTCAGCTGAGTGCTGACGATTATGACGGCCCGGAAAATGGACCTCCGTTTAATTACAAACTTGCAGACGAGGCATCTGACGATATAGTCAACAAATTTCAAATCGACAATGACTTTTTGTACGCCTTGGTTAAATTTGACAGGGAAGAGAAAAAATTCTACGACATACCTATCTTGGTCACCGATTCAGGAACTCCTCGACAGTCCAGTGTGAGCATTTTAAAAGTAATCATCGGTGATAGGAATGACAATGCTGCTAAAGACGGTTCTAGTGAAATATTCGTTTACAAGTACGAGAAACTTTTGAAAGATATCACGATAGGACGAGTCTATGTTGATGATCCTGACGACTGGGATCTACCAGATAAAGTTTTCGTCCAACTAGACAGCTTTGAGTATTTTACATTATCCGAGGAGGATCGTGGTATGATTGTCATGCGCAACACAATTTCCGAAGGTAAATATTTCCTCAGGTTCAACGTAACCGAAGAAAACGAACCTCTAATCCCAAGACACACTGTTTTCGCGACCGTAAACATAACAGTAAAGGAAATCCCAGAAGAGGCTGTTGTTAAATCAGGCTCCATACGTCTTCAAGGCATCACCATGGAAGAGTTCGTCGAGAAAGAAAATGGTGCCAGCAAGAAAGACAAACTACATCAAAGGATCTCGGAAATCGTGAACACATCAATATCCAACGTTGATGTGTTCACAGTTTTGGAATCGCCGTTCAACGAGTCCCTAGTTGATGTAAGATTTTCTGCTCACGGCTCCCCTTATTATGCCGCTGAAAGACTGAACAACAAGATCACAGATCACCAAGAAAAGGTAATTTTTTTTTCATTCAATTTGTAATTCACGACAATAATACAGTAAATTTATTTAATATGGTGGGTAATCTTCTAGACGCTTGTCGATTAAATCTTTTGTTAAATTATTTCCTTTTATTACTTAATTAATTCATCGGAGCGCTTCATTATAAATAAACCAGAGCACGCACATAATAGTGTGAAAATGTATTAATAGTATTTTTTCCCAGGCTTTTTATACTTAGTGATTACAGTAAACTATTATATTGTTTTCTTATAACCCTGTTTTTTTAATTTGAACTTGATAATACTAATATTAAAAATGTGTCATGTCTTTTGTATTTTTTAGCTTGAAAGAGAACTTAATGTTAACTTCGTGATGATTAGCATCAACGAATGTCTCAACGAAACGATATGCGGAGAGGGCAACTCTTGTTCGAATAAGCTGAATATTTATGACGAACCAGCAGTAGTGTTCACGAACAAAACATCTTTTGTCGGTGTTAAAGCAGTGGTCGAAGCTACCTGCGAGTGTTTAGAAAGAACTCCAAACGAGTGCTACAATGGAGGCACATTTGATGAGAGTGGCGTATGTAAGTGCCCTTCTGAATTTGAGGGCCCTTACTGTGAAAGATTGTCTATCGGGTTTAACGGAGATGGTTGGGCCATGTACCCTGGCTTGGATGCTTGTGATAGATCTGAAATTACAGTGTCACTAACTCCAGCCAAAGATGATGGGTTAATATTTTATGCAGGGCCCTTAACTTACAGACACGCGCAGCTTTCTAAAGGTAAACTATATCTAAAGATGTATTTTTGTGGGTGTGAAATAACATATTTTTATTATTTCCAGATTTTATTTCTTTGGAAATGAGGTCAGGCACTGCAGTCTTGAAAGTTAACAACGGCCTAGGACAAAGAGATATGGAAATAGTAACGAGAAAACTAAACGATGGCGCTACACATAAAGTCAGGATTTCATATGAACCTTTCAAAACAGATACAGTAAGTTTAATACAAATATCCATAATGGCGGGATATAAATTAAATAAATTCTCTTCTAGGTAGTGGAAATGGAAATAGATGACTGTAAGAGCAACTGCACTAAAGTTATTAACATACCCAAAGGGATTTTTTCAATAAATGGACCCTTACAAGTTGGTGGTTTGAGCAAGTCATTCAGCGATGAAGAAAGAAAAATATTATGGGATGGTATTGCTCCAACTGACATTGGATTTCATGGGTGCATTAAGAATTTTACTTACAACAACTTTTACTATAACCTGGGAGAACCTTCAGACCAACAACTTGCCTATGCCAACTGTAATTATGCCATGCAATTAGCAGTCACTTTTGGAATTGATTCCAAGTTCTTGGTTGCCATTTTAGTCTGCATTGCTGTGTTATTCTGTAAGTATTATACATAATCATCATTTACAGCTTATTCGTGTAATCCCCCTTAAATATTTAGATAGTTTCCTTGCAATTGGGTCAGTTGTTTTATATTTTTAGTTATGTGAGTCCAAGTTATTTCTGCTAATTTCTTAATACCATGGTTCCATCTTAGGTTTGGTGTTATTCTAGGTGACTTAGTTCCTCGTTTGTACCATGCGGTAATTTTTTTAGCTCATCAATGGTCCGTCCTTCTTGCCAGGTGTCCTACCCATTGCCACTTGAAGGATTTGATTCTACAGATGACATCTATTACTTGGGCCTTTTGTCATATCCACTCGTAATTTTTTATGGTCTCTCTTTATCATTCCCAGCATATTTTGTTCCATCGGGCGCTGTATGACCTGCACTTTCCTTATGATGTGGGGTTTAAGTCTAGGTTTCGCATGCACAGGTCATGACTGGTACGCATTGATCAAATGTTTTTTCTTTAGATAAAGTGGCATTCTAGATTTGAATATGATTGAGTTTCTTCCATATGTACTCCATACTAACTTAATTCTTTCGTCGATTTCTGGTACAGAGAGTACTAAAAACAGAGTATTAAACATACTAGTTCTTAGTTTGAAAGTGTTTTTTTAATTATTTTTTTTTCAACGCTAGTTTATTTAAATAAATAAATAAGTAAAAAATTCTGCATTCCGAAAAGAAAAAACGTAATTATGATGGATTTTCAACGAATGTTACAAATAAATGAGATGTTTTAAAATAAACAAAACAAGGGACAAAAACAAATAATTGGATATCCCTGAATTTTAAATGTAAACAGAAATGCATTTGTTTAGTTTTATGTCATGCAACGTATGTATATGCCTATATTTGCTTATTTTATCGATATTTACTAATATTTTCGATTTTACCGAGAAAAATACTATACTATCTAATCCATTATTAAATGGTTTCAAGTTGAAAATACTATCGTGGAATTATTTTTTTTTAATATTTTTAGTCACGCTTGTATTATGTCATTGATTACTGTCTAAAATTAATCACTATGTAATCTCTTATCGACAGATAAGTTTTTAATTAATACATTATTCCAAATTTTAATTTAGTTTTTATACAGGGTGTGCCAAAGAATTTGCAACAAATTTTTTATTATTGACTTTTTATTATTTTTTATTATTGAGAAATTTAGAGTTATTATTGAGTTTAAAAAAAGAGTTTATGGGGAATTTGTTCAACATAAACTCACAAATAGCTACATAAAACTTGCTCATTTTGGCCCACACTGTCAATTCCCCCTGTCAGGTATACTCTCGTTAGACAAACTTTATATAAATAAATTCACAATTTTTTATTCCACGTAGTACGGATTTCAGTGCTCACTTGTCTGGAATTTCCAAAAACTTGTCGTAACCCTAAAGTAGTGCGCACACGGGGATACTCAAATCTCAAATACTCGACGACTGCCACAGGGAACTTAGAGACTTAAAGACTGGTTCTTTATCATACTCAGAAGGTCACTACTAAAGTTGCGCGGATTTTCTATAAAAATTAAAATTATTATTCAGTCCCTTTCTATATATATATTTTTTTCTCGATATATTTCGATCTTATAAGGGGTTTGATAATACTCTTATAATACTGACCGCTTTATTTAGAATGTCGTAATGAGGGCATAATTATCCAGTATTATTATGGCCGTCACAAAAAAGTAACAGTGGTAAAATTCTGGTTACACCCTTATATTGAAAGAAATATTAGATTATTCGTTGAGTCAGATTCCAAATTCTGTACATACTATAGAATGACAAAGGACATATTTCAAATAATAAATAAAGCTGATAAATCCCAAGGATTCCTGCAATTCATTCTAAAGTTTGTAGACTTATGGTGGACCAAGCAACTGAGTTACTACGCTTCGTACTACGTGGGAGACAAAAGCGCGCGATTCGGTGCGAGCGACGCGTATTTATCAAACAACGTTTTTTTACGAAGCTGTCCTAGGTAGGACAGCGAAGGCGATTGAAATATGTCGCGCTCATCGCCCTCTGTTGTCGCACGCGTCGCCCGCTCGCTTTTGTCTCCCACGTAGGACAAAGCGTTTCGGCCTCTGCTTAGCGCTGCAATTGACCGGTTCACGACAAGAATTTTCCCGTCTGAGCGCCACTGTTTAATTACACAAGTCGCCGAGTATTCCAGTTTTTCCGAGATTTGAGTATCCCCGTGAGAGTTCCCACCAATATATTTTCAAATTCGATTTTGTTTTATTTTTCAGTCTTACTGTTAGCTGTAGTGGTTCACAGGCGTCAGCAGGACAACCTCAACGAAAAAGACATCGACGACACTACCGAAAATATTATTAATTACGAAGACGAAGGTGGCGGCGAATGCGACGCCAACTACGATCTCTCGGTCTTTGCAAAACCAATCAAGTCCAACTACCAAGGCAAGGAAAATCTCGAACCGAATAATACCGAACCGATCAGCAGTTTCCTAGACACCAAGAAGGACAATTGCGACAAAGATCCAGACAATTTGCCTTTCGATGACGTTCGGCACTACGCGTATGAGGGTGATGGTAACAGTACAGGATCTCTATCATCTCTAGGCTCGTGTACTGACGACGGCGACTTAGATTTCGAGTACTTGTTCAGTTTTGGAAAGAGATTTAGTAAATTAGCCGATATGTACGACAATGACGGCAGCGATGACGATACCCAGAACAATGGCAACGAAGCTTGGTGTTAAGTTTTCTTTGAAAATTATTTTTGTGTACTTAAAGATTTTCCTTGTCCGACCAAAGAAGTTTTTTTGGGTGAGACTATGAGTTGCGTTAGTCACAGTTTTTTTATATTATCTTGTAAATAACTAGATACCCTCCGACTGATGCGTTTTGTTGCTGACTTTGTAACGTTTAGTTTAATTTTCTTTATTTTGTGCCAAAATTAAACAATATAATAACTTAAATGACACATTCCTTAAGGTTGCTCATAGAATACGATTTAAGAGACTGCGCATCATGTTTGAAATATTCCACGACCTGTCCTTTGCTTAATTCACGTTTAATCAAATTTTTGGTGCTAAAGTAAAGTTTGGTATCCATGTACCAAATCGAGAACGGTATGTGCCTTCCAAGTTAAAGAGTTACTAGTATAAATAAAGAAAAAAATCTTTCTCAATATATTTAATGAAAAGATAATGTTGATCAAATGTGATAGTTTTAGATGAATATTAGTTATTTTATTCAGAATACATATGTACTTGCATTTTCTAAATTGGACTGACTTTATATAGAAACCCATTTGCCTTTGACATCTTTTATAAGAATAGATATATTATTTTTATATATAGTATTACCAGTAAAAACACATATAAAATATGTAAGTTTAATTTATTTATAATGAATATAATAGTTTTTTTATATTTTTTATTCTTATTTCGTTATAGCAAAATTGGCATCTTAATATACACGGGGTTTGTCAGTTTGTAAAGTCATTCCCCACAAACCTCCTACATTTTATATTTTCATCATTTATGCAAATAATATGAATCAGTTACTTAGGCGTTTTTGAGAAACATATAAATTTTTAATTTTTTTTGTATATAATAAAAAAGGAAGGTACAGAATTTTTCTCTTTGTGTAAAATAAATAACTTTGTTTGGAAGTTCCATTTATGTTATGCTAAATGAAAAATTATGTACTAGTAATGTTTAAAAAATATTTTGACTGTTATTTTACATTCCTTATAACTATTTTTGTGATTCGTTTGGCAGCAGTTTTGAAGTTTATAAATGTTTCTTTAGTATTATAGTATTAAAACAATTTTTATATAAGCACTTTTTTCAGTTGGATATATGTAAAAATCTTAATAAAGGATTACAATGTTCATATTTTTGTGTAAAGTCATTAAGTCACTGCCATATGTAACGTATTAATTTCAAATAAAAATATTTTTCAGAAGTATTTCTTGTGTTTTATTTAAATTAGGTTTAGGTCTTTCTTGGTCAAAATTTCTGGCTCATTACTGATAAGTTATGTTTATTTGTTTTTAGGTATATACATAATAAGTATGCAAAACAGTCGTTAAAAAGTAACAGTGACAGTGACCGGATTTAAATTTAAGTTCAGTTTAGCTTATGTTATTAGCCCCACTACATTGATCTAAAGTATACTTTTTCAGATATTTAACTAATTTTTGGCAAATTCTCAGCCTGTCTAAACTTAAATATAAATTCAGTCCTACATAGAAAAAAATACAATTTAATGAATAATATAGAATTAACAGTTAGGTAAGAAAATTATAAATAAATAACTACATTTTTATACAATGTCTATATCACAAAACGATAAATGTAGCAATCTAAAATAAGTTTTAAAAGTAGTAAGTCTCAAAAGCATCTTAAATGGCCCACCCTTTAAATTAGTAGCAGTAAATTTAAATAAAACTTTCTGAGTTTAAATCAAATTGGTTCCATTTTCAGTTATGATAAGCAAGGAACATTACAATCCGGACATTTAATATCCACAATAATGCCCACTAATTGTGTAAATATCAAAAAAAAAATATTACTGGAACAAAATTAAAGTACAAAAAAAATACTTTAGGACCATGGACTAGTGTAAAATAACATATCCACTAGGAAAATATATAATATTAGTTACGTGTAGCACCTATCTTATTATAGCTACTTAATATCCTGATGTACATTTAGTTAATCGTTATTATACATTACACAATAATAAATTAATAAATATATGCTAATTCTATGTCTACATACCTTAAACAGTATGTGGCTATACCTTTTCTATTGCTCTTTTTATTCTATCTTCAGTAAAATATTTATAACAAATTAACAAAAATTAAAAATGATTAAAAACAATTATGTACAATAAAACATTCAATGTAAAAAAGTAATACTTAAAACATTTAAATCTTGTAAGTCTTGATTATAATAATAAGGGACAAAATAAATACATAGTTTGAATAACTTTGTTCATTTTAAGTACAATTAAGTTATCCTTGAAATAAATAACTCTGTAAAACTGAATAAATAAACTTTATTTCAGTATAAATACTATCAAAATCCCCAAATGCACTCAGTATTATTTTTCAAGTTAAAAATATAATTTTATATGTTTAAAGAAAATGTAGGTAAAAAATAAAAATACTTTAAAAGCATACCATTTTCTGTTATGCTACTTGTTTAAGGCACTTTTTGGGTCAAAATTATGATTATTTCTTACCTTGACTTTCAAAACATATATTTATTTTGTCCTTTAATTTCTATAAGTGACATAATAAAAAGAGAGCCTTTATAAGCCTATACAGCACTATACAGCTAGATCCATTCATAAAAATACAGATATACAGGGATATTCTTAGCATCAAGGGATGTGTAATTTAAAAAAGGGGAAATAGTTTAAAATATTATGTTTTACACTACATTTATTACACATTCTAAACTTTTTTTGTTTTAAGTATACCACAAGGTTAGAGAGTCCAAAATAAAATGTAAATTATTTATCATTTTTAAAAAATATTTCTAATATAAAAAATAAAAGCAGTTTTAGTTTTATTACTAGTATTTTAAAAATTATACTAAAAAATGAGATACCATTTTTTGATCACAAATCAAGTTTTACTATTAAGATGTAGTTAAAGCACAAAAGATTATTTTATTTATGGAAGAGATGACGGTATTTTTTTAGTTGTGTCTAGACATTAAATATTATGTAAGAGGAATTACATGATTACTCAAAATTTACGTCTATAATAAGGTAGAAATATAGGTTGATTTTGAGTAACTAAGTTAATAAATTACCTAAACCAACAGATTTTTCTTAAAGCCTATTTATCTTTTATGTTTTAATACTTTTATTTTAATAATCTATTACACCTGTTTACCTGTGATGTCATCACATAATGCAGACAACTGCTCACACTCCTCAGTTTTTTGATTCAAAGATGTTTCTAATGAAGAACATTTTATTTCTAACCTTTTTATTAATGCTCTTAATTTACTGCTCTCATACTCATGCTTTTCTCTAACATTTAATATCTCTACATTACATCTGAAATGAAATATTTTTGTTTTCAAAATGTATCTTACTTTTAGGTAACTTCCACTTACTTTTCAATCTGTGATTTGGCGTAGGTTTTAAGGGATTCATATTTGGCTTCATTTTGTTTTAGTTTTTCTTCTGCAATCTGGAGATTCTGGGTTAGTGCCTCTTCATTAGTTTTAAACCCATCAACTATAATCTTGCTTCTGTCATATTTCCTGTAATTGATAATCACAGTGAAAATTAACAGTAATAAACAATCATGTTTTAAATACTTACTGTAATACATCAGAAAATGCCAATTCGAGTGTAGCAAAATGTCTACTTGTTGTTTCATGCTCTTGTTTTAATTTTTCCAACTCCATACTCTGACCTGATATTGTTTTTTCATATTCTGTTAGTAACTTCCTATAACAATTATTAATAAAATAAAAATTACTTGTCTTTTAAATATGTATTTACTGATAGTGGAGCATTTCTCCTTTAAGGGGCAGGTCATTTTTCTGTATCTGATTCTGATTTTTTAGATCACTTTTGGATTTAATTTCTAACTCTAAACTGGACTTTTCTTGTAAGTCAGACAGTTGCCGATCATTGAATTCTTCCATATTAAATATTACACTATAAAAAATAAGATTGATCATGATACATACACACCCTTATTTACTTAATATTTATACTGAATTTATTTTATTGGTAAACATGATAAAATAGTAATTAAAATAATCTTACCTTATAGTCTTGTCTATTAGGAGATTCTTGTATTAAAATATTCGATTCTGTAACATAAAATATATCTTAAAATTCCCAAATACAAGGTTTTCTACTCTTATTATGTATTTTATCAATTTGTGCTAAATATTCCTTATATATAAAAGTTTTTAGTATTAATTAATGTTTAATTATTTTAGGTATGATCTCAAATTAATTATATTAATTACTCTGAATAATATCAAAGGTAGGTATACTTAGTCAGTTAGTTAGAGGTGTATATAAATAAAAATAAGGATACAAAAACAAATTCTTACCAAATATATCCAGGAATTTGACGACGTATGACTGCAGTGAAACTCTCAATCCAACTTTCACATATTAATCAAATATTTTGCTTCGGTTTTTAGTGAAAACGTCTGGCATCACGAGAAACTTGAGGTATTGTACTTCGTGTAGGAATGTGTTTAATATAATTTTTCTACTATTTCCCTTTGTAAATCACATTATTAATAACATGTGTACTTTTATAGAATAGGAGCTCTAAAAAAATCTAAACGGTATGCAGATGACATTGACTACTAAAACGTCAAATTCTTAAGATTGAGGTTAGAATTTTGTCATTGGCGTTAAGCCCCGTTCACATTCATAGCCTTTAAAGCCCGTTCCAGACTGGGTGCAGATATTTTGAAAAAATAATAGTTGGTTTTCTTTACTTTGACTTTCATATATTAGAGATTACTTATCTATAATAAAAATTTATTAAGGGTCCAAAAACACAGTGTTACATTGTAAAAAGTTTATAAAAATATTTTAAAACGATATTTAAAAAAATATGTAGGTCTTTTCTCTAGGAATATATTTTTTTTTAATTAACATTTGGAAATGGGAGTAAACTTTATTGGTATATGTATTTATTGCTCCCTAATATATATTAGGGAGCAGTTGTTAGGGCACATCTGATAACCGTTCAGAGACACCCTCCCAGGTTTAATAAACTTTTAAAAGGTTACTTTTCCCTTAACACCAAAAAATCCTATATCGCTTAAACATGGGAAAGCGATTACGTCAAGTGCTGTGTAAATTAGTGTTTGACGTTGGAACCTCATTGTGTCCTCTAAACCCAATTTAAAAATAAAAACTATTTATTTAGTTCCCTTTAGCAACGATCATTGTTGCGACATTGCTATGCACTTGCGCCACGACCTTCATTGATTCGACGCGGTCCAGAAATCAAGCGACCTACGGCCATATTCTTCTGCTATCTGTACTACAAGGGCTAGTCAATAACTAGACATTAGTTTGAAAAACTCTTTTCCACTACAGCCTATAAGTCAAAAAAACTACCCCTACAATAGGAACAGCAGAAAAAAATAATAAAATTACCCTTAATCCAACTCCATCTCACGTCCGGTATGCTATAAATATTAACTAATAATGGAAATATCAGATCTATCTCATCAGAAGGGCCGTGACGAGATAAAAACCTAGTTATTCGAATTATTTGACTATCCACAACCATTTAAAGAAAAATTAAAAAATAAAAACTACCCCTAAAATGAAGGCTTCAGAGGGACTAAACTACTATCGTTTCATGCATTTAGCTCCTCGGAGTTCAACGACATCAAAAAAATACTAGTATTAATTATTCCCAAAACCGACAAAAACACAAGCTATTCCCAAAATAGGGGTTGCAGAGGTGAAACGTTCCCGATTTAATCGATATATAAGACTAGCCCTAAAATAGAGGTTGCAGGAGTATGAAACTTTTTTACTGGATGCCTTTAGCGTCCCTGAATCCAAAGAGTCCAACTGAAATCCATACGTCCATCAGTTTCCGATTTATTCCCAAAAACTAAAAATCAAAACTACCCCTAATATAGGGGTACCATACGTCGCTAAATCCAATGAGAATTGCCTGAAGTGGATAATCTTATCCATTCCCGATTTATTCTCGAAAACCAAAAAAAAACTACCCCTAAAATAGGGGTAATTTTTGCGCCTTGGAATCCAACGGGACTTCACTGAAATCCATAGGCCCATCTGTTTCTGATTTATTCCCAAAAAACTACTAAAAAACAAAAAATCCCTAAAATAAAGACAGCAAAGAGACTAAACTACTGTCGTTCCATATATTATACGTTCCTGAATCCAACTAAATATTACTGAAGTGGATATCCTCATTCTCTTCGATTTATTCCTAGAAAAAAACACAAATTACCCCTAAAATAGGGGATGAAAAATTGAGAGCATTTAAGCCTTTGAAAGTTAATATATTCTAAAAGTACATAACATTTCCTACAACTTCTGAGTTTTTCATAATTTTATCACTATGTTTACTATTTTTCTGACAGCCTTAAAGATGGGTTTAAAATATAGGAAATTCGGTCATAAAAATGTAGTAGTAGGTGTAGAACATCAAACTAAGTGTCAAAAAATGGAATTTCTCTCCCAACGAAAGATTTTGAGCCCATAAATGTTTATATTTTTTAAATTTGCATAAAACTTCCTATACATAATGAAATTTTGAAAATTTTCAGTTTATGAGTCCATTTCACTAGTCCGAAAAAGTAGCAAAATAAGCGTTCGGCATTTAACGTTTTGTATAAAACTGGCTAGGTATTTTTACACAAATGAAGAAGGAAATTAAAGATAAAGGATTATACTATATCCGTATTGTAGCACATTTTTAGACAACTTCTTTATTTTTAAGATTTTGATGGTCAAACATCAACAAAATATTCCTTATGTTTGGACTAAATTTTCTCGAAAATAAAGAAATAATTTAAAATTCCGTTACAATACGGAAATAGAGTGAAGTTTTGTGATTACAGTGATATATAATTTATATGGTTTTGTAACAAATTGCTCGCTATTTTATTAGCAAATGCTGAAGCTCTGCAAACCTTAATCAAAGCACGTGTGTTTGGAATTTTGGGTGTGGCTTAACATGACAGGATCGGGCTAAGCCTTAGGCAGATTTCTGAAATATAATATGTATTTCCTTCGGTCACACACCGGCTTTACCCGACCCCTGAGAGCAACCCGAACAGTACAGCGTAATAGACTCTTAAGTTTTTTTTTCTAAGAGTTTTGGAAACGTATAAATCCAAATGTAGGGAAAGTTTTATCAAAAATCGCTTAAAAACAAGTATCCAAAAATTTTTTTCGCCGAGACAAAACATTTTAAATCCCCTCAAAATGTATATCTATATAAAATTCCCTTCAAATACAGAAATTTTAAAAATATTTTGCTATTTTCTACAAGCTCTGAAAAATGTGAAAACAGGTATAAGTTTTAACTGCCATCAAAAATCGCTAAAGACAAGAATTCAGAAAATCTATTTTAACACAAAACGAACGAAATGTACTTAGCATTAATGCATACAGGGTGTTTCAAAACAAATGCGAAAAACTTCAGGGGGTGATTTCTTGTTCAAAATAAAGGGTAGTTTGCTTTATAAACGTTGGGTCAAAAGTCAACCATTAGGGAGATATCGCGGTACAAAGATGGCGGAAAAATAATGTTTTTATTTTTTATCTTGAAAACGAAAAGAGATAGACTAATGAAATTTTACGGAAGCATTACTGTTATGAAAACACACTTTTTTAAAATGAGTGGAAGGGGTTGAAATAAACTACCTTTATCATTCTTGTTAATGAAATTTAAAGAAAAATCTTATCAAACACATGCAAAAAAAATTAATTTTGATAGTTTAGTTTATTTAGAAACTTTTTATCTCTTGTGTTTTCTTGATAAAACTCACCGATTTGAAATTAAAAAATAAAATGTAAAGCCTTACATGTCAGGACTAAAAACATTTTTAGATAAAGAATCTAGTGGGCAGCTGTAATTTTTTTAGGAAAAAATCTAGTCGGCCGCTGTCACTTTTTAGGATGTTTCTAATATTGTTTTATTTGACATTACCCTACTGCAATACGTTATTATCTAGATTATTATTATTATCATTATTATCACTAGATTCTTAATCTAAAAATATTTTTAGTCCTGACATGTAATGCTTTACATTTTATTTTTTAATTTCAAATCGGTGAGCTTTATAAAAAAAATACAAAAAATACAAAAAGTTTCTAAACAAACTAAACTATCCAAATTAATTTTTTTGCATATGTTTGATAAGATTTTTCTTTAAATTTCGTTAACAAGAATGATAGGGGTAGTTTATTTCAACCCCTTCCACTCATTTTAAAAAAGTGAAAAAATTACCAGAAAGTGTATTTTCATAACAGTAATGCTTCAATAAAATTTCATTAGTCTATCTCTTTTCGTTTTCAAGATAAAAAATAAGAACATTATTTTTCCGCCATCTTTGTACCGAGATATCTCCCTAATGGTTGACTTTTGACCCAACGTTTATGAAGCAAACTACCCTTTATTTTGAACAAGGAATCACCCCCTGAAGTTTTTCGCATTTGTTTTGAAACACCCTGTATATTACTGGGTCGAAATTAATAGAATAATCAGATCCCCATTGTCCTTAGAATACACAAACCATCATAATGAGAGCATCTATCTATATCCATATATACGAGTACATCCACGTTGACATCAAGCAAGATTAGTATCAATATAGAAATTATTTTTACATACCAAGGTTCCTCATTCTTATCATTTTAATATAAATTCTAGTTCCTTTTATATTCAAACAAATCCACGTATAATATATCTGAATCTGATGCATTTTTAGAGATGTAAAGCATAAGAAGTTAAATGACAAGAAGTATCATCTCTCCTAGACTTCTTTTGTGTGAATTTTCGGAATAGATGATGTTTCCCTACTTTTATCCCGGTTTTATTAGAGATTCTCTATACAAAAGCGCCTGTCTAATCTTATTTTCTAAGGAGTATTTGGTTTCACTTAGTGGGTCCCTTAGAACTCTATTTAATAGTGAAAAAGCGATTCTTTACAATTCTTTTGTCAGGTTACAGCTACTAATGAATACTTTGAAATGTGTAGCATCCGGACAGTCTAATATTTCAATGTTGAAATGTACCGGTTACGAAAAATAAATCTTTCTTTGTATATTATAACACGAAAAAAAAGTAACTTTAAAAAAACCCCTTAGGCATATTTTTATTAATTAATATAAATTACCTAGGCAACATTAATTATAATCTGGTTGAGTTAATTAAAAAAAAAGAGATTTAATAACAATTCTCTGAGACAAAGCAATAAGGTTCACGAGATGTTATTACTAAATTAATATACTGAGTGAAGAAAAGGAGAACATCTATATGCAGGGCGAGTCTTAAAGAAGCGCATAATCATTCATTAATTAATTTTCAAACTTACTAAGTTATTTTACGTTGAAAATTTAAAAAAAAATGATTTTTTGCTTTATACCTTTACTTTATACTTTTCTTTTTTGTAAATTTAATCTACTGTTTACATGTTTAACTAATATCAAGATATTAAGTATTTTAATTAAAAATTAAAAATAACTAAAAATTTAAAAAAAAAATACCAAATTTTCATTTTTTTTGCGAACAGAACCTCATAGACGTGTTTCTGGAGTCGAAATATACAACCCCTTAAAATATTTGCACTTATTTAAGACTCA